TGAGCGAGTGACAACGCCATCATCCTATGGATAAACATGCGTTTGTTGTCACGCGTGACACCACGTTTGCATGGCAACACGAAGTACATGACGTTTGCATGGAGACACACGTGACCGTACGTATGTAGACCTACACGAGAGCCAACTCCTCGGTATAAATAAACGAGTGACAACGTCATCATCCTATGGATCAATGTCTTTTTGAAGACACACATGACACTACGTTTTGCATGAAGACATGAAGTACATCACGTTTACATGGAGAGACGTAGTACACCATGTGTGTTTGAAGACATGAAGTACATCACGTGTGCATGGAGACACGCGTGACAGTACGCATGTCAACATACACGAGTGCCAGCACCTCGGTATAAATGAACGAGTGACAACGTCATCATCCTATGGATAAACGTGTGTTTGTCGTCACGCGTGGCACCATGTTGGCATGGAGACAAGAATAACAGTACGTGTACATGAAGACACGCGTGACAGTACACATGTCAACATACACGAGTGCCAGCACCTCGGTATAAATAAACGAGTGACAATGCATCATCCTATGGATAAACGTGTGTTTGTAGTCACGCGTGGCACCCCATGGAGACACGAATGACAGTACGTAGGCATATACCTACATCACGTTCATGTCTGTGCCTGTCGATTCACCTTTAGAATTCAGCCAACACCTTTAGAATTCCACACCATGATCGTAGCGCTGAGGTGATTGCCACTCACCGACGTTTAACTTAGACGAACGGCTGTCATCGTGGGCTACAATACACGATCGCCTTGTGGAACGAAACCTTACACCTCAAAGTTGACAAACACATCACCAAACCCGATGACATGATTTGTGACATGTTGTTGCAAGATCCTTCGCCGATATGACGTCAACCTAGCAACAAAGTGGCAGAGTCGTCGACTGTGTATGATAAGCTCGTCTCAGTGAACTATCATCTCCACATGCCATCGCCACACACCCACCAAAACAAAACAAAACAAAGAACCCGACTCCCTTCCCGCCTTCCTCCCTACCCCTCCTCCTCCTCCTCCTCCCTCCCTTCACCACCACCGCCTTTTCTATTTCTATTTTTAGAAGAACAAAAGAACAACAACCATGTCGATCTTGTTCACCTTGTACGACCGTTTCTCTGGGTTTTTCCCCATCCCTCCTCCCCGGAAACGGATGCGACGCCCTCTTGGAGGCGTGCGCCACCGGAAACGGATGCGCCGCCATCTTGGGTGCGCACGCCACCGGAAACGGATGCGACGCCATCTTGGAGGCGCACGCCACCGGACACGGATGCGACGCCATCTTGGAGGCGCGCGCCACCGGAAACGGATGCGACGCCATCTTGGATGCGCACGCAAGTCCCATCATGCTCCGCGCGCATGCGCAGGTCACGTGACCGGATGTGACGTCACAGAGGTCACGTGATCCTCTCGACCAATCAGAAGCCAGGAGCGGTTCCAGAGTCCTGTCCACAACTACTGATGCTCATGCGCAGTGTGTCTATGCATTGCTGGTGTTTTGATTGAAATATAGCAGTGTCTACCGTGGGAAGATTATCCGTCAAGATGTAGAATAGACGTTTCAGAGTACAGTTGCACAGTGCTACCGACGTCTCGATGCGAATGACCAGACAATGTAAAAATATTGATGAAACTGATGTTATTAAACACTGTTTTACGCCGCGTTTAGAAATATTCCACCAATATCACGGCGGCTACAACTATTGATGGGTCACCCATATAATTATGAACGATAGAACTGAAGGTCTCCTATTTACATCTAAAACTTATAATAAGCAAAGCCCCATTTGTTACAGTCCATATTGATGTAAATGTTTGTGGCTGATATATTCAAAACAATATTTGAACCATGCTAATTAATTCAGTAGCAGGTAAATGCTGAGCAAATTTTCACAAATTTAAACATTGTGTTCATGGTCACAAATCGTATCGCCCGAACACAACTATTTGTCAGTTGCTGCTCGTGCATATCAGGATATGGACACATGGTTATAAATAGTAGCGAATAACAGGAAACACGTCAAACAATGCGTCGATTTTTGAGTGTTGTCAACGTCAGTTGGCTGCACGTCTTAACGTCACTTAGAGAGGTTTTGCGAGGCTGTGGTAGCGGTACCAGGATAGTTGAACAGCTGCCTATGCTTGAAGACCAGGTCGTCCGAGGGTCACAACATAGAGGCAGGATAGGTACCTTGTGAACACTCTAACGCCAATAATGTCCACATTAGCCAGGCCACCATACGAAGCAGATTGCGTTCTCTTGGTCTCCGTTCTCAACGTCTTGCAAATAGTCCACCACTGACACTACGTGACAGACACGCTCGTTTGCAACGGTGCCGACATCATCAGCGTTGGAATCAACATCAGTGCTATGTAATGATGAAAGCAAATTAAAATGTGCTTTCATGATGGCCAAAGGCGAGTATACAGTTTTCATGATGCGACTGTAGTGGCACATAATCCATGTGGGGGTTGTTCGATAATGGCCTGGGGTGGCAAGGACACGATTACACGTTGTTGTTGGAAATCTCAATTCACAACGTCATGGCGTCGAGATACTGGCCCCATTGTGGTACCATTCATGAGGACCATGCTTCTCTTCAGAGGTGCCCCGATCCTGCACGATGATAACGCACGTCCTCGCCGTGGTAACGTGGTCAACGCCTTTATTCATCAACAAGGAGTACGCAGAATGGAGTGGCTGGTTGCTGTCCTGACTTTGGCCCAATCGAACATGTCTGGGATGAGCTAGGGCGCCGTGTTTACAGGAGTCACCCTATTCCACATGATCGTGGGACTTGCAAACAATTTTGCCCCGGAAGTGGAACGCTATCCCTCAGGCTGTGGTTAGGAACCTGGTCAGGAACATGAGGGCAAGTTGCACAGAGGGAATCGAAAGTAGGGGAGGCTACACCAGATACTAATCTTTACAAAGTGTTACAGCAGTTCATGTAAACATGATGCTATGGGGTACCCTTGACCTATTGCCTTTTGTGTAATAAACTTTGAAATGAATGACAATGGGGTTGGCTAAAATATGACACTTCTCTTCATAACATTTAGTTTAAAGATGGATTCGCACGGTATACATTTATCTTGGTACAAAATCGGGACAGTAAAACATATGTAGTGAACACCTTTCAAACGAAATTTACCACAGTCTTATGACTCTGGGTAGATTAAGACCCGCAGCAAAACGTGTGTAACGAGGAGACAAATCCTTATCTGAACATCTTTTCCAAGTATGATGCAACTGATTCTTGGCATGCCACAATAGAAATCAACAAGAAATTAAAATCTTTGTCGTGGGGACACGCGAAGTTTCACAGACTGACGTGGCGCGAGTAACTTTCGGACGAGTGTGCCTCTGTCAAATACATTGCTACTAGGCAATGAAAACATATAACGGACATGACAAAAAACCTACTCTCATCACTTGACAATGTTATTGGGTATTACCAGGATCTTCATGATCATTGTCGTCCAGGTTCCAGATTAGCAGTCTCCAGACCTTTTGGATGAGGTACCACATGTGATACTCGCATACCTACCACCGAAACACTCTCCATGTCCACCAGTTCACCCGTTCTCTAAATTGTGCAAAACTTCACTTGACCAAGACCACTAAATAACAAACTATGAACACTTTTGTGAACGTATACTTATACGGCTTTCACCAAAGTTTAACCAGTGAACAAAACGCAAACAATGTGAAATCCTGAATCTAAATACTTAAGGAATCTGTTATCTGAATCTTTGACAACTAAGATTCCCTTCAGAGTGAGGAACCGACATTCGAAAAATAAGTACATTAGTCAAATACCTAGCTTCAGGCACATTAATAATCAACGTATCTTCAAAGTCTCAGTCAGTCCTCTCAGTCACGGGGCACTGGTCACGACATTTCACGCTCCCCTTGAACATCCTGGACAAAACTTCCTATTGACACATTTCCTATTGTAAGACTGTCATCGTGCATGTTGAAACTCTCAGGCGAGAAAACCCAATTTTATGTTTCCTTGCGAAATTTATGGTGACACATAACCTACTTTATTCTCGTTCTTGCCTTTTTGTGTTAATCTAACGTCTTTCAACAAGAGGTTATACATTTTAGTCATTACACAAATAGCTTCTTTATCTGCTTGTGATGCTCACTGGTTGGTATTTATACATCCCAGGTACACTGTATTAAATGAAATAATGTATTCACTTTTAAGTAATGTTGTAAATATTTGCCATTTCAACAGAAAGTCTCCAGTGGAATTAATATATTACCAGCATCAGGGAGACAGACCAGAGTGTTTTGGTGGAGTAACAGCCATGATTAAGATCTGATCCAGACTCGATTATTTACATTTGTCAGTTTGTTCTTTAACGCCGCACCCAGCAATATTCCAGCATGACGGCGGTCTGTAAATAATCGAGTCTGGACCAGACAATCCAGTGATTGACATCATGAGCATCGATCAACGCATTTGGGATCGATGATATGCATCAACCAAGTCAGCGAGCCTGATCACCTGATCCCGTCAGTCGCCTTTAACGACAAGCATAGTCGCCTTTTATGGAAAGTATGGGTTGCTGAAGACCTATTCTACCCTGGTCCGATTATTTACAGACCACCGTCATATGGCTGAGTTCGGCGTTAAACAACAAACAAACAAATACATAGCTACGAATCCATTATAGTGTTTTTGGACGATTCTCACCGGCCTATACAAAACGCCTTCAAAGTGCACAATGAAAACTAATATGGACTTTTTGAATACTCAAAAGTCCCAACACTCTTTAAGTTCATAAACGTATTTAATTTTAGAAATAATGTTTGCTCTATCCCACGTGTGATGTTATAAAGCACAGTTTTGTCCTGAACTGTGTATTATACTGAGAACGCCTGCGTCTCAGTGCTCAGTTGACGTGATATTGGGGTAGAGCAAACTAGTAACTAGAGCAAATTTAGAACTAACCTTGTATTGTATTGATGATGGATTTGAAATAAAATCTGTAGTTTGTAAATTGAAAATCTTCGAACAGGGCGATCCTTTTGGCTGCTTTACCTAAATACCTGTAAAGAGACAAAATAGGTTTTAAACAACTATAAATTTTAGGGTTTTGGTTCAGGTTTAAATAAGTCACATTTCATTATCTTGTCAGTGTTGGATTACATTTATTTCTTTATACACATTTAGGTCAGTTTATCACGTGACTTGTGGGACCGATGTTACACATGCATCGAAAGCAGTTTGGCGGGGTATGGGTGTTATAAGGGAGTTTATTTATGTTAGATATCCTGAGTTATAGTAAGTTAAATATATCGATATAAATATTCACAGTGTAGACAATACAAAACAGATAAAATCATCTTGACTATTATTACCGTGACCAACAATACAGAGTCAATGTATGGGCCAGCTGCTTATAAATTAAGTTGGAACAAAGAGGGGGTGAGTGAGTATGGTTTTACGCCGCCTTTAGCAATATTCCAGCAATATCACGTCGGGGGACACCAGAAATGGGATTCACACAGTGTACCCATGTCGGGAATCGAACCAGGGTCTTCGGCGCGAGGAGCGAACACTTTAACCACTAGGCTAACCGACCGCCCCTTAGAACAAAGACGTATATAGTTACATGTATATACATGTTTGGTTAGGCAGGCCTGTTGGCCACTGAAACGTGAGGTGGATGAGATGTTAATTCTGCATACATGTGTCGCACATGCGGCATATGGCAGTGTGACCGTGAATGGCTCCTTAGGGATAAATGGGCAATGCTTTGTATTGGTCTGGAGTTGACCCCTCCCCCCCCCCCACCCCCCCCCCCACCCCCCCCCCCCCCCCACCCCGCTCACAGAGCTATATGTGCAGCAAGCCAGAAACACAAGGACACTCCACTCATCTTTATTCACTGTCGCAAGTCACAATAGTATATAGATCAATGCTGGATAAACCATTGAAATTGGGATACTACGTTACTCTAAGCACTGAACACCTTTCACACAAAATATACCACAGACAATATGGTCCTGCCTGTCCCCCAGCGCTCCCCTTCCTCATTCTACCCGTCATCTCCGATCATCTGAACACAGGTAACTGTAGGAGAAATAGCACAAACTGCATAGTATGTGTACTTCCTTTGTATCAAAGCATCTACATGTACATTTATCTCACCTGTGAGCACAAGGTCTATCTCTCTGGGAAGGGGTGCAGGTTACATATCCATAGAACAGCCCAGAGTGTACCTTCAGCCTTCAAGCCGTTCACTCACCCGTATACACAGCGAAGTTAACATTGCTGGGTTCCCCGAAAAAGAACATGAGGATCCGCATGAATAGGTTGACTGCGCGCACTGAGGAAATTTGAATACTATTGGGGTATAAATATCAGGTTACTTGGGTTGGATAATGTGATTAGATTTTCTAACGATAACATAATTAAGTTTCACATCTTTAGTGTATGATTGTTGTTTGAAGGGCAAGTAAATTCAACATAGCAACTTTTCAAATTTTAATATTTTAGGCAATATTTAATCACAATTGCTTGACCCAAATTATACGTTACAGAAACGAAACATAGACCTTGAAAAACGACGAAATCGTCCTCCAAGTGAAACAATTCAAGGGGAATTCCCCTTGTTAGGGTTAAAACTCTAGGATAATTAATCAGTAATTACTTTGACCCGTCTTATCCCGTCTTGGCCCGACCCGAACCCGCCCTGTCCGGCCCCACCTCAACGTAATCCCCCATACTCAATAAACGTGTAAAGGTAATTAAAAGCGACAAAACCCTTCCCACAGCCATAAACAATCTTTCCTAAAAGCAGATTCGATTTTACAATTCCGAGCATCATCAGAATGTGACTATGAGTCAATATTACATAGTGGTGATAAGCGTATATTGCCCCACCGGTGACACATGTCACAAACACATGCAAAGGCAAATCAACTGTTCACCGGAAAATAAACATGGGAACATGCGGAAATATATATTAGAAACAATAAATAGGATTGAAACGTTGTGTTTGTATAATAAAAAAGTTGTTTTCAATAGTACTCCTTGTCATATTGCTGTAGGTTAATGTTGCAGTTATGCTGTGTGAGGTATATCAGTCTGAGCGCAAGGAACACTTTGTGCAACGGATATAAGGTTCTGAGAAAGTAAGTATTGAGTTGGAGGCCCTGGGCAGAATGGGTCCCTTCTACCCATCTTCAACCGACAAACAAGGTAGATAGGTAGATAGAAACAGAGGAAATCTCCCAGAGGTGACCTGGTTAGTCGGTCTCACTATCGACCACCGATTTGTCTGGTCCAGATTCCGATTATGCTGGAATAATGCGGCATAAAACACCATTCACGCGGTCTCACTGAAAAAGTCCGCTTGTTAGCCACCATTCGAACATAAGATAACGAGCAATTCATTCGTGCCATGCGATGACAGTAGATCACTGTAGATTCTCTGGACACATCATTTTCATTCTTAAAACAATTTACACCGGGGATCTTGAAGTATTGGTGCCTGAGACCACTACACGATTGTAGAAACCATTGAATCACACCAGAGAGAGATTCACCATTCCGGCTAGGCTTCTACAGAGATGGGTAATCCAAACAAACGGTGTCTGTGCTATTACAGCTCTTATCCTTTCGTTACGGATGACAGAATAAGAAAGGACGAATTATGGTTTCTTATTTTTTCTTCGACATTCATTTCTAGGTCATGATTGACCCTCTATAGTAAACTACTTGGAATGTACGTAGAAACTCATTTTGCTTCAATGGCACAACATTCGTCTTGCTTCAATGAAATGACATTCGTCTTGCTTCAATGACATGACATTCGTCTTGCTTCAATGACAGGACATTCGCCTTGCTTCAATGACAGGACATTCGTCTTGCTTCAATGACAGGACATTCGTCTTGCTTCAATGAAATGACATTCGTCTTGCTTCAATGACATGACATTCGTCTTGCTTTAATGACATGACATTCGCCTTGCTTCAATGACAGGACATTCGTCTTGCTTCAATGACATGACATTCGTCTTGCTTCAATGACATGTGATATTTTCGAGTCGTGTGACGCATGACGCCTGAGCGTCGTCGTCCTGATTCCTTTAGTTTGTCAACTACTGAAAGTGTTTACAATTATGTCTGTGTTTAAACTAGGCTTTAAAGCATTCGGCCCAGGAAAAAGGCGTAACTTGTGTTATAGGAAATCCTGCGAAGTCGGGTTCACTTTCTCGGGTTGTCTACCTGTCGGAGAGCCGGCCCTTACTTTGAAGTTAAAGGTACTTACGCGTGTGGTCAGTCAATTCGTAGAACTGTCCACTCATCAGCTACAACTGACCGTAGTAGGAGCAGCAGCCCATCTTATGTTATATATTCATCCTCCAGTGCTATTCGACCGTGAACCTCGCTTACAGTGTCCCACTTGACGCATAAATCACGCCCTGACACTCGTCCAGCGTTAGCGAGCTTGCGGGTGTTTCTGACATATACGTATGACTCGTATTTGGTAATTGAAAAATAATTTTTTTTCTTATAGGACATACTATTGTTAACGACGTATACACATCTTTATGCAACATATCAAGCTGTCAACATTGATTATCAGCAGGAATAGCAGGAAGGAAATTAGAGAGAAAATTTCTTGCAAAACATTTGGCATTGATGGATACAAAAGCCAGACCGACAAGGACAAATAAAACATGTCTATAAAACCTCAGGAAATGATGTCTGACAAACACGTCCATGGTTGTCATCAGTCCCTTTTAGTGTACATAACAGGGTGATTTTCAGCGTTGATGTTGCGATCTATAAAACCATTCATCCTTAACGTAGGTGCATATTTTTAGATTCCGTCATGCATAAAGTTGATAGCGTTATGTGAACCCTTGCTCCAGCAGGTACATTCTTTGACTCCAATTATTGCGTGTCTGTAACATTCCCTGCTCAAGCTGCGTTGTCTGTAACATTCCCTGCTCAAGCTGTAGTGTCTGTAACATTCTCTGCTTGAGCTATAGTGTATGTACGATTCCCTGCTTCAGTTATTGTGTCTGTAACATTGTCTACTCTAGCTGAAGTGACTGTAACATTCTCCGCTCTAGCTGCGGTGTCTGTAACATTCCCTGCTCAAGCTGTAGTGTGTGTAACATTCTCTTCTCTAGCCATACTGTCTGTAACATGCTATGCTTCAGTTATTGTGTCCGTAACATCCATTGCTCTAGCTGCGGTGTCTATAACATTCTCTGCCTCAGTTGTAGTTTTTTGTAACATTCTCTTTTCCAGCTAAACTGTGATTTTAACATTTTCTTGTCCAGATTTAGTGTCTGTTGCATTCATTACTTCAGTTGTAGTGTCTGTAACATTCTCTGCTTGAGCTATAGTGTATGTAAGATTCCCTGCTTCAGTTGCCGTGTCTGTTACATTGTCTACTCTAGCTAGCTGAAGTGACTATAGTGTCTGTAACAATCCCTTGTCCAGCTGTAGTATATGTAACACTCCCTGCTATAGTGTCTGTAACAATATCTCGTCCAGCTGTAGTATATGTAACACTCCCTGCTAAAGTGTCTGTAAGAATCCCTTGTCCAGCTGTAGTATATGTAACACTCCCTGCTATAGTGTCTGTAACAATATATCGTCTAGCTGTAGTATATGTAACACTCCCTGCTATAGTGTCTGTAACAATCCCTTGTCCAGTTGTAGTATATGTAACAGCTATAGTGTCTGTAACAATCCCTTGTCCAGCTGTAGTATATGTAACACTCACTGCTATAGCGTCTGTAACATTCTCTGCGCTTCGGCCGCGGTGTCTGTAACATTCTCTGCCTCAGTTAAAGTGTCTGTAACATTCACTGCTCCAGCTATGCTGTGTCTGTAACAGTCTCTGCTCCAGTTGCAGTGTCTGTTACCTTTCCTGTTTCAGCTGAAGTGTCTGTAACATTCCCTGTTCCAGCTGAAGTGTCTGTAGCATTCTCTGTTCCAGATTTAAAGTTTGTAACATTCTCTGTTCCAGATGTAGTGTCTGAAACATTTGCTGCTCCAACGTCAATGTCCGTAACACCCCCTACTTAAGTTATACTGTAACTGTGACATTCTCTATTCCAACAATAGTGTCTGTAACATTCCCTCCTACAGCAGTAGTGCATGTAACATGCCCTGCTACAGCTGATGAGTATGTAACATTTCCTGCTCCAGCTATAGTGTATGTAATATTCTCTGCTTCAGCTGCGGTGTCTATGACATTCTCTGCATCAGTTGTAGTGTCTGTAACATTCACTGCTCCAGCTATACTGTGTCTGTTACATTCTCTGGTCCAGCTGTAGTGTCTGTTACATTCTCTGGTCCAGCTGTAGTGTCTGTAACATTCTCTGGTCCAGCTGTAGTGTCTGTAACACTCTCTGCTCTAGCTGTTGTGTATGTAACATTCTCTGCTCTAGCTGTTGTGTATGTTACATTCTCTGCTCTAGCTGTAGTGTCTGTAACATTCTCTGCTCTAGCTGTTGTGTATGTAACATTCTCTGCTCTAGCTGTTGTGTATGTAACATTCTCTGCCCCAGATATTCAGTGTCTGTAACAGTCTTGTGTTCAGCTTTAGTGTCTGTAACAGTCTCTGCTCAAGCTGTAGTGTATGTAACAATCATTGCTCCAGCTGTAGAGTGTGTAGCAAATGCAGGCGACATTTTAAACATATATTTACATGTAAATCTGCACACCTGTGTAAATATACACGTCTGAGTATACGTGTCATGTGAACGAGTTTACTCTTGTTTGTATAGTAACACCATGAGCAAAGTTGCACCTTGTCTGGAGCTGGTGGAAATGTAAATTGCACATTTTCACTGTAAGTATATGTTCCATGTATTATTGACATGAATGAAAAATTAACATCAGAAGAACATTTCTTCATATTGTTGATTTCAATTCTTTCGATCCTTTCATTGTATTGTTTCAATGTGAGCAATGTGCGTCTCCAAATGGCGATTTGAGGGAATCTGTTCCACTCCTCTTGCAGCGCCTGGCCAAGTTCCGCCAAAATGGCCGGCGGCCTATGACGTTGACGCACACGTCTCACTATCATGTCCCAGACGTGTTCAGTGAGGGAAAGGTCTGGGCTCATTGTTGACCATAGCATACTATGGATGTTATGTTGCTGGAGGTGAGCATTGACGATTCCTGCATGGTGCGCAATGGGCGTTGTCGTTCTGAAAGACCGTCAACCAACACGCCTTGCAAACGGGACAACAACGGGTGGCAGTATTTTGTCCCGATAGTACTGTCCAGTGACCCTCCCTTGCACAATATGAAGTGGGGTTCAGCCAGTCATTGTGATGCCACCCCACACCATAACGGATCCACCACTAAATCTGTCACGAGGTCACAGGTTGACATTGGCTTGACGTTCATTCCCTCATCACCAGACACGAGCACGCCTATCAAAAAAGTGCAAACTGGACCGGGACTCTGAAAAAACGACACGTGACCAGTTCGACGTTGTTTACACTATTGACATATGTTGGCAATATGACGATTTACAACTGATGGCACAACACGTGTCCGCTGAGCATTACGATGAGATGCACGTAGACGATTTCTTATCGTCTGATCCGTCACTCGTACGCCAGTAGTGTGGTGAACGTTTGCAGCACATTGATTTGCCGTTTGGGCTCAATTTCGTTGATCATGGTTTGAAAGAGTCGATCCAATACTCTTGTCGTTGACCTGGGACGCCCTGAATGGTGTTGATCGCCAACGTTTTGGGTTTGTTGGTACCTGTTCCATAGTCTGCTAATCACAGACTGTAAATAATTGAACGTTAAGGCCACTGCACGCTGACTTCTGCCAATACCCCACAGACCTCCCCGCGTTGCCACATCACTAGTTCAAAAACAATAAATGATAATAAATGAATCATAACTGTACAAAATGTATGATAAGCAGAACCAATAAGATTCACAGAAATAATGTTCAACAGGGATTAATCGACCTCCCTTGAATGTGCCCAAACAGGAATGACACCCCAAGCACGTGTATGGCGTTTTTACAGACGTTAACCGAGTGTACATGTTGTTACCCTGTCTTGCGCTCTACATTACGGTAATACATCAAGGCTGGCTGACTCGGAGCAGTATAATGTGGCTGATAGGAGTACCCATGTTAAACTGCGGTATGGTATCTAAGTGGACTGGCACTATTCATCCGGCATCAGTACAAGCACACGCGCGATGTATAATTGAAATACGCTTGTGCCATCTACAACTGTTCATCACTCTACACCACGTTTTATTGTGACTGTGGGAAGACCAGGATGTAAAATTCAATTTGAATAGAGTCGAGACTTTGTCAAGGGTGGTTGGGTGATGCGTCATATGTGCATACTTTACCCCAAATGCTCTGTGACAAAAGCTGATTTCTCAGTGCAATGGAGTGAGATTGTATCTAATGTCAAACTGCTGCATGGTATATCAATGGGCTAGCACAATATAACCGGTTTGAAAGTCCGAACTAGAAGAAGCAGCAACACACACACATCTGTCAGCTGTCTTCATCTGTTTGTAACTCTACACCAACGCATAGCTATGGCTGTGGAAATACAATTGCTAGCGTGACCAGGATGTGAATTCTATTTGAATACAGTCGAGGTTGTGTCAACGCGTACGTCACGGATGTCTGCACAATGTCTCAAGGGGTGATATATACAACTCAAAGTTTGCTGAGGATCAAGCTTTGATGATATCAAAACTCATATAACAAATTAAAGTTGATATATCACGGTACACAATGATTGAGTAACCCTTTATGACCTCAATTCAATTATAAGCTGACATAGGCATGCAGTCATTGGCACGATGTGCGCGATGTGCATGGAAACCTGTGCTTGGATGTATCATGACAGAATCGTTGCACATCATTATTAGAGAGCACAACAACATTTGATACTACCGATTGCAAACGTTGAATGTATTAATGCCCCCTTAACGTCAAATACGTTGTTTGACGACGGAAGAGTTAGGCGGATAGAAAGGGATGCTTGAAACTGGGCCCTTACAACGTCACCTTGCAAGGCACCTTTCTTGTCATCCAAAGTGTGTTCGACACCAAACTTTTGGATCAGCTAACAAGCGACATACAGGTGGTCGACAGCATTCCACTACACAGCGGGATGGTTGCATCAGGACGTCATCACTTCGTGACTGCCACCACACTCAGAAATGAACTGCGGAACGCCATTGGTTTTATCGTTTCTTCTCAGACAGTGCTTAATTGTCCTCATGTCACAGACAACATAGGCAGGTACGTTTGGATTGGGCTGAAGATCACGTCAATTGATCAGGACTCGGCTCCAGTACTTTTCCTTTATGAATCGAAATAATGTCTGGATTTCATAGATCGTCGTGCCCGTGTGTTGGATACACAAAGAGAGAGATTTTAGGATTCCAACGTAGCCGAACATGACTGCTATGGAGGGAGGGGGGGGGGGGGGGGGGGGGGGGGGGCTCAATCATGATTTGGGGTGGGATCATTAGAGCCTGAAGAACCGATCTCTATGTCCTAGCGGGGCTCGATGACAGGTGTGCGCTACAAGGATGACATTCTGGATATCTACGTGAGACAGTATGCTCGTGCAATCGGACCTGACTAAGGATCTCATGGTCGATGGTCGATAACGCACGACCTCATCGTGCCAGGGTAGGTTGAGCCTATTTAGAACAGGATACAATTGTCCGCATGGAGTGGCCAGCTCGGTGACCAGTCCTCAACCCTATCGAACACACGTTGAACGAGCTGCAGATCGCCCTCTCACGACGCCCTGTCCATTCTGCAACTTTACAGGAACTCGGGAAAATGTTCTTACTGAAGAGTGGAACAATATTCCCGTGGCAGCCATCCGGACACTTATTGGGGAGATGAGACGACGGTGCCACACTGTGATCGCATCAAGTGGGTCACATACGCGCAACAGAGTTGTTCTTTTGAACAATGAATTTGGTTTCGTGATTTGGTGACGTTTCAGTTTGTGTCTCATTTTGACGGGAGATGTGACTGATTTTAGTCACATGTTTCTTGGCATTGTTTGGCACATGACAACGGAGTTTTGTTAATTAAATATGTCTTCACGCACATAGTTTGACGTGTTACCTTTCAAAGAGGTGGTCCTTAGCAAATTGTGAGTAGTATTTTCCCGCGTGCATTGGGTGATGCGTCATCGTGCAGATTTTACACAAAAGGTTCTGCTTAAAACATGATTTTTTCTTGTATATTTGATGTACATTATCAATTCTCACAACAATGGAAAGTTGTTTGATGATGGCAGATAGAGAATCTCACCCGAGTGTCTTTTGATATTAAATATATCAACACGAGTTGATAAAGGAGGAAAAATTCCGAGGCTTGCCGAGGAGTTTTGCCACTTTTATCAACGAGTGTTGATATATTTGATATCAAAAGACACGAGGGTGAGATTTTATTTATCATCCAACATCATTCTTTCAACTTTTCCAATTTGTAGACAGTAATTAGCAGTGTCTTCAGTGTAAAAAAGTACTAGAAACAGCTTCAGTAGCAAAGCCATAAGTGATGTCATTTGATTGTGACGTCATTGTAACCAGTGACGTCACAATGGTTTGCAAAGCATTGTGATGCAATTTCATTGCAGCGATATCTACAGTGTAGATATCGCTTGATCTCATCCAAGCGATATCTCCAGTTTTGGATGATAAATCACAATAAGTCCCCGGCAACCTAAGCTGGTTGTTTGTTGCAACTGATTGAATCAGTTGGTCAGGTTCGATTACTTGTTATTAATCACCAATCTGAGTTCCCATGAAATAAGTCGACTTGTTATGTGACAACAATTAAAAGCTAAATTGCAGTCTCACAACTTATTAATTTCGCAGCATAAATATAGTGTGTGCATATCCCTGTGGACATATCTGAAGTAAGGACAAACAAGGACAACAAAAGTAATAAGATAACAAAAGGTGGAAACTAACAAGACAGGCAAGCAGATGATTGGCGATGATAGGTGATCAGCAAAAAAGAATGGAAACCAACACTTTACAGTAACTAGACCTGAGTAAGCATATACTCCGAAATAATAACGTTGACACCTATAAATTCACGGCAGTACTCCTAATGGCTTGTATTATTGGTGTGTTTGTTTTGTGTATGGAAAAATACTCAAAATGACTTTAGATTCCGTTACACTATTATCCTGCCCCTTCCTCCCCTTGTAATAAAAGTGCAATATCGAACGGCGGGGTATGGGTTAATATAGTTTCTAGAGATCAGAGTATGTCGTTCAGTGAGGCTGTTCACTGAGCCGTATAGGGCAGCCAGCCGTAAATACAAGGACACTACAATTATCTTTCTTATTCGTTGTCAGATACATACGAGTCTGCAGAAGATATTACAGGGGCTTTTATTAACGTTGCTCATTAAGAGAATTAAGGTGGCCCTGGCCTTAATCAAAACTTCAGTTCTGGATTATTCAAATGAAGCATTGTCCGCCATGTGTATGATGTCTATCGTCAGTAATTCAATCAATACTGATTAGCTATATACTTCGCGTCGCGGGGCTGTCGCCCAGCGGGGATACGAGACACACACGGACATCAGCGACTGAAGTATCACCTTCTCCTCCATCTACCATCCTAGCAGTAAGTGACACTTGGTTGTACAAAGCTACACACGGATAGAAACACCTCCACACACGTGGAGTAACACTATTCACTCTTGTATTGTTATTTACGGATCAGGGTAAATTTGTCTTCTAAAGCGGTATTCACATTGTATTGCTGTTATTGCTATTGACGGTACGCCATATCACGTACTGATTGGGAAGTCCCATGGTCGTTTGAATTATGTGTTTGTTCTTTGTATATGGTCACGATTCCAAGGAATGTTCAGTTGATCAAGCATGACTCGGAATTGGACTTTTACAAATAATATCTGATAAGAAGAGATTATTTGTAATATTTGTAAAGGTAATGACGTAAACATGTCTTTATCATATAATGGGTAGGTTTCTCGGAAGGATAAAACCAATGAATAAAAACGATATCCGTTAGAGTCATATGCAGATAGAGATGCACAAAGGGCAGTTACTCTAGCGGATAGACCGATGGATTGCCGCGAAATGCAAGTAAAAGCAAATGTTGATTTGCGTACATTTTGCTTCGCCACTGCTTTAGAAACAGATTTCTGTTGTAACTGTATTGGCTACTGTCACTGTCCGACTGACACATCACTTACCCTGTGACGTAAGAAATATTGCGCGGATTCCAAGAAAACTCGCAATGTTTAAGTAATGTTTATGAGAGAGGGAAATCGATTTTCAAGCACAGAATTAAAGAATGACATTATATGATAAAGAGGTTATCAGGATATTTACCATCTCCAAACACCCTCGCGTGATAACCTGTATTCATTCATTTTATTTCCAATACATATAGGCCACAGACCTTTGTGCACAAAAGTTGAGTAACCACTATTTATGCAACATTGTAGCTGTCCGCGTTACTAGGTCTTAATAGCATTAAGAAAGCACTTTGCTTTGATGGATATTATAGCAAGGCCGACGAGGACAAATATAACGTGACAATAAAACCTCAGGAAATGATGTCTGACAAACACGTCCATGGTTGTCATCGATCCCTTTTAGTGTACATTGCAGGGCGATTTTCAGCGTAGATGTTGCGAACTATATAACCATTCATCCTTAACATAGGTGTATTTTTTTTAGATTCCGTCGTGCATAGTTTAATAAATTAATAGCATTGTGTGTACCCTTGCTCCAGCATGTGACGTTCTCTGCTCAAGTTGTAGCGTCTGTGACATTCTCTGCTCCATCTATATTGACTGTAACATTGCCTACACCCGTTGTAGTGTCTATACCAGTCTCTGTACCAAACGCATGAACCATTTTAAACATTTATTTACAATTACTCAAGCGAGTATATATACTCAGGTAAGCTATACCCCATGCACATCTCTCTCTATATGTGTGTGTATATTTGCATACATGTGTAAATGTAAACGCGTGAATATACGTGTCATATGAATGTGTTACGTCTTGTGTCTATATTGACACCAGGTGCAACATTGCACCTTGTCTGGAGCTGGTGCAAATGAAAATTTACACAAGCGCAAATTTGCACTCTAAGAATATGTTCCATGTATTATGGATATAAATAAAAAACACCACAGAACATTTCTTCGCAATACTGATTACAATTCTTTCGAGTCTTTCATTGTATGTGAGTAAATGTACTCATGAGTAAATGTTCTCACAGAGTAAAGCTGAAATAATGAGTTTCCTTTATAGTTAAATCCGCTCATTGGAGTTCAATGTTTGTGCAAATTATGTGTACGAAATGTAGGGTTTATGATATGCAAACAACTATACTGAATTGGCGAACGCATTGCCTCATATCGGCACTAACTATCAAGGAGCAAATACCTTTGCTACCCTGTGTTTACAACCTTCGTCAGTTATTCAAATATGGACCAAACAACCGTGACAAACCGTATCCCCGACTCACAGATACCATAATCCTTAATACAATCAAGGAAGGACCTTCTTTACAGCCACAGAAAGTATTTGAGACAAGTCGAATTTATACCATGTAGATTCTCAAAAAGCTCAAAGGATTTGCTCGACCTTTTTGACCTTTCAGAAAAGAACCAAGTTACATTTTGTCAAAACATTTGATTTTTCATTTTTGTACACTACCATCCCACATGACAAATGTAAGGAAAAACTTCACTTGATCTATGGGGCTTTTGTTACAAAGCTTGGTGACCACGGATACAGTTACGTATCTATATTCAGCGGTTAAGGAGAATGAGTAAAAAATGAAAGCAAATGCTTTCTGAAGTTTACTGAGAAATGTGAATTGCCGGACGTCCTCACTGATAACGTAAAATTTGGGGGTAAGACATTTGGGCAAGATGAAGGCATCTCCATGGGCACTTGCTGATCTGTTTCTTTGTGCCTATGAATCGAACTTTCTGGTCGGATTGACAAAGTCAAAACAAGGTAATTTGGCCAAGAAGTTTAACTCAAGCTTAAGGTATATATCCATGATCTGATGTCGTTCAATAACAATCAATTAGCCAATTCCCTTTCACTGATTTACTCACCTGGACTTGAAATAAAGGAGACCGCTGAGGCCGCCTCATCTGTTTCATATTTAGATCTCTGCATAAAGAATCAAAGTGCCTTAATACTCTCCACAAGTCTGTATGACAAGAGGAATTACTTCAACTTTCCATCGTCAACTCGTCGAGCAATATTCCAGAAGCTCCAGCCTTGGTGTTTACATTTCACCACTTTTTGAGATACAATAGAGCAAACTCTTTCTACCAAGATTTCAAAGAGCGTCATAGTACTCAAAAGCTGTTTGAACAAGGTTACAACATTCAAGGCCTAAGTAAAATGTGGAGGACATTTCCAACTTCGAAGCATCAGGGACAAAAGTGATGACCGATGCAATTCGCTATTTTAACTTGCACCATATGTTCCCATGTTTTTTCAGGTGAACTATTGACTTGCTTTTGCACGTGTTTGTGATGGGTGCCAACGGTGGGGCAGGATACGCTCACCTTTTCGCAAACATCTGGTATCATCACTATTTGATAGTGATTCATAAACACATCCTCATGATATAGTCAGACTCTGCTTTATGCAGAGATTTCTATTGTTTTTTTCCGCTTTATTCACCCGACCAGAATTGGCGTAATATCAAAATTAATGTCTACCAAATATAAGGGAAAAATGAATTTAAATTTGGTCTGAAAAGCAGCAAGTGAATCCTTAGAATTCAATTGTACATTTACTCACGCAATCCAGCACAATGATAGCGGTCAATAAACACATTTTAAAATAAATTTACCACAGATACGTGTATATTTGGCGTTGTGTGGTGTACTGCAGTACGTGTCGGTTCGGTGCGTGCCAATTAATTAAATCTGACTTTGGGCTGTTTCCTTCTAAAAGCAGAGTCTATTATACGATTCCGACCATATGATACCAGGTATTTGCGAAAAGGTGAGCGTTTCCTGCCCCATCAATGACACACGTGTATAGTTGACTTTAGACTGATTCGTACAATCGACTTTACGAATATGTAAAGGGTTTTTTAACTTTCGTCTCGCGTTTTCACGCTGTCTGAACTTTATGCCAGTAAATATATCATACAGTGCCCCTCATACATGATGAATATTGTCTGACAGGTGAAAGAATTCCATGATAATATTTTGCACAATTAGCTTAAACATATTGATAGTTAAAATGCCAAATTTACATAAAAAACACAACACACATTGATGGATTTGCATTCGTCTTGTTCCAACTCAAAGATTGCCTCCGTGATTCGCCTGAATGCGTTTAAGTATTATTTTGTTGATCCCTGATGACAACTCTTAAAATTCCAGATTTCGACTTGTACCATATAGTACGTCATAAGTAATGAAGAATTTCTTTTATCGCCTTATGAAGTTTGGCTTTGTCCCAATTGACTTCATGCGCCTAGGATAGATGTGTTTCAGCTAGTAATATTTTATCTCTCGATACCCGTTTTGGTTTTAAGAAATAACCCAGAAATTATTTCAAGATTACATACCAAGTAGTTTTCTTTTGTGCACCGACATTTGAAATCGAGAACAAAGTGTTTTATTTTCCACCGTGCTTGTAATGCACGCGAAAGTAAAACCTTTCGATGTAATCTTCAAAAGTGTTTACGAAGTCGTATGCATACTATTGTATTATTGTTCTAAGTGGAAAAATATTGTATTGTAAGTTTTGTATATAAAGTTACCAATGTGTGGACGGATCATTATTCAACGTTGAAATGTTACCCATGTCGTATCCTTATTCTGTTCAGAATTGATCACACATGAACAAGGTAGTGTAATTGTAAATTTTGTAAGTGTGAGTGATCGATGTAGTACCCGTATTCTGGTCAAAATGGTCTTTGGGAGTTACTTCCTGATGATTGTTTTAAATATTAAATGTAATAATGTGAAGTGTAATTATTACGCGTCGAAAATCTAACCAGGTGTACTGTTCAACAGGGGTGTTTTGATTTTTACTTTTCAACAAAAAGGGGACATTTTGCATAGTTGAATAATGAACCAGGGTCACTTTTCAACGGGTCTCACTATTCAACGTTTCACCGGCGCTACAATCAGCAACAAGAGTGTCTCTCCCGTCTCGGTTGATATACCCTCCGTTTGCTCTTCACCTCCCGCAGTCCCTGTCCACCCAAACAGGACTGTCATTTGAGACGATAGGCTATACTAGAAGGCTATGGTGGGCTGTTTTCAGACGTGGTTCGGGTCCTTCTCTGTTCAGTGAGACCCGTAAAGATCCGGGTTAGAATTGGTCTTTGGCAACCTATGCTTGTCGTAAGAGGCGTCTTACGGGATGGGGTTATCATGCTCGCTGACTTGGTGGATGCATGTCATCTCATCCCATTTGGATAAATGTTCATGATATCAATCATTGGAACGTCAGGGAGCCGTCATACAGCTTGAATATTGCTGAATGCGGCGTTAAATAGCAAACAAAGTGTTCAGTGACTCCCTGCTGTGTTTCTACAAGTGAAATGTATATATCCTACACAGTCTGGTGATCAATGAGAAAATGTGCCTCGCTCGATCGTATGTGGCATTCAAAATAAGGCGAGGGTTACCGTGCACATCTCAGCAAGGTCGTAATTAAAAAAGTAATTAAAATGTTTACATAAGTCACACACGACAGATGTATTTAAAAAACCGGAAGAGACGCCTTCATACCAAGAAGGTGTACTTAACTTCTTGTCAATACTGTTTGCTTGGGTCTTTTGCAACTGTCTATCGTGGGAGAATGGATGACTCCTACACATTAAAACCAATAATGGTATTAATGTGTTTCAAAAATACAAGATAGATGTATTTTTGTTGCAGGCCATTTAATTTGTTTCAACAGTGTGAATGAAGTATAATTCTTTTTTTCATAAATTTTAGGGAACCATATTATTTTTCACATACGATCCACACTTCCCCAAAGAATGATCGGTCACTTACGTGTCATTATAATATTTCTATATCTAAAGATTTGTGATGGTCATGCATTCTTTGCTTTCAGACACAATGCTGAGAGCACTGCTTGTTTTGCTGACAGTGAATCTGTGCCAAGGAAGTGGACATGTTTGTGACTTGTATTTTGACAAACAATATGGAGGCATCTTTGCTGATTGTACAGGCAGAAAACTTCAACAGGTTCCAAACTACCTTCCGGGAAACATAACAGCCCTGGATATCAGTGGGAATGATCTGACAATAGTCCAAAATAACACATTTTACAAATTTAACAAGCTCATTTATCTGAACATGAACATGAACCATTTGTCAAAGTTTGAGCCACGGGCATTTAGTGGCTTGTTCAATCTTACCACTCTCCTTCTTGCCCGAAACAAATTAAGAGACGACAAAGTGTCTTTCCCAGATGAACTTTTCCAAGACCTTATGAGTTTGCAAACTCTTAATATCGAACAAAATGAAATGTCCTCATATCCAGATTGGGTGTTTCTTCCTCTCGTCAACCTCCACAGTCTGTATATTGACTCAGTTCCTGCTCCTTTGTTTGGTTCAGGATTCTCCAAACTAGCAAATTTGAAATTGTTACAGATGGATTCACAGTTTCTGTATGGAGGGACATGTTCAACCGCACATCTCACAAATGAAACATTTCAGAGTTTAAATGAAACCAAACTTGAAGTTTTGATTTTAAACTTTTGCATAGGTTTATCATACTGCGAGTATGGCGTTTTAGAGCCACTAATATTTCTAAAACATTTGGAACTTACCCATAATCAAATAGGAATTCACAATGCTTTACATCTTCTCCATCCCTTCGTAAAACAGAATATGAATAGAATTTGGTTCAATAGTACATTCAAGTTCAAAATGCAAAATGAAAATGACATTGTCGATAGAGTCCTAACTAAACAAAGTATGCGTTATTTGACCCAAATATGTGTCACTGAAGTATCTTTGAGAAGTAACCAGTTATATTTGATTGAATTTGCATCAATTTACAGAGATCCGTTTGAAGGATGTGTGAAAGTGCTTGATGTGTCTGACAACTATATTGTTGGGGATTTGGCTACAATTTTTTTCCTGTCCAGATTTTCTAAACTTGAATATTTGGATGTTAGCTTTCAAAGACAGGATGATGACTTTCCAAGTTCTTCAACATTAAATGGAATGATTTCAGTAACAATCATATTGCCCCCTAACCTCGTGTATTTTGGGTTTTCTGGTTCAATGACAGGTGCCCAAAGTATGAAAGAAATCGTTTTTCAAAACACACACAATCTTGAATCTGTAATGTTTGCTTTTAACTTCTTGTTTGGTTTAATGAACGTGAGGGGTTTGGAAAATGTGAGTAATGTTGATGTGTCAGGAAATAAGCTTGCCAATGCGTTTGATTTTCACTCATTTGCAAACGCAAAGCGGTTATCTTTACGAAATTGCAAATTAAATTTTGTCCTTGAACCCTTTAGTGCACGCAGCATATTCAGTTCTCTGAAATCTGTAGAATATTTGGATGTTTCAATGAATCAGCTCCAACATAAAGAACTACTTCCACTTTCAGATACAATCGTTCATCTAAATCTCTCTCATAATGAGTTTGATACCATTCCCATTGAAACACTTTATTATCCACGCCTTATCCTTATCGATTTGTCATTCAACCTCATTGGATATCTGGATAAAGATACCAGATCGAAACTCGATTTGTCAGCTGAAAAGAACAACCTCAAACTTATTGTCGAAGGAAACACCTTTTCGTGTAGCTGTGAAAATCTAGACTTCATTCTTTGGTTGATGGATACACCAGTGATTGACGAGTATGACAGGAACTTCGCTTGCATTCTGAACAATGGCACAATGACGGGAACCGTTGATGTGGCCAACAATTATAAAAGTCTAAATCGCTACTGTACGGGCAAATTGAGCCTAAATCTCTCAGTCACATTTATGGTGGTAATATTCACTTCCATTTCTGCATCATACATGGTCTCCAAGAATCCAATGCGATATCGTAATGCTTTGATGAGAATATTTGGATTAGGAATCAAATATTTAACACCCAAAGATTTTGCTTTCACCTTCTACATCGGATATTGTGACGCTGACATCCCTTTTGTCTATCAGAAACTGCGACCAGCATTGGAACTGTATAATTCCCCTGTACGTCTCTTCCTGAAGGATCGGGATGTTCTTCCGGGGGTTGTTGTCGCCGACGGTATCATTTGCGGTATCACTAACAGTTGGAAGTCTGTCCTGGTGATTTCAGATGACTTTCTTGAAGATATGTCTCAGTGGTCACAGTTTACTCTTGATGCAGCCCTGTACTCCTTATCGGATCTAATTCCTAACCGTATTATTGTGCTACTTGTGGGCGCTGTGCAGGTGCAGGATCTCCCAGAGAGTCTGTTGAATGTGGTGGAAGAGGAATGCATACTCCGTGTGGAGGATTACCAGGATGGAGATGAGACTCTTTGGAATGATCTGAGAAAAATTGCCGGTGTTTGATAAGGTCTTCATTGTTAGAACTTCTATGCAGCAACCCAATGAATGGTAGGAAGAGAGTTCAACTGGTTGAGGACTAGCTGTCCTATTGTAATATCCTGGTTGCTGTCGTTCTGTGTGCACCTTTTCATATTTTTTGAATGTCAGATGATTTGGCCAAAACGTACTGTGATCTGAATCTGAAACAATGTTTGAAATTGTGAATTAATTGTAAATTAATTGTTATGAAAAAATGTCTCCATAAATATTTCATGTCTTCGGTACACTTACATCTGAACTTATACGGTTTACATATCCCTTGACTTCTATCTATTCCAGTATGTTTTGTTTCTTTTCAAATTAAGAATTTATCACAACTGCATCCAAAATGAGCTGTAATTTATGCGTATGTTTGTAAGGTTGCATTCAGTATTAATATAGAAATATGAATACTGTAAATAAGGGTGGCATTTCCTTGAAACCCTTAATGATGTCAACCTTTATAAATACATATCTGTTAATTGTAGTACAGCTGATATGTTTGGTTTTGATAATCGTTGATTATTACAAACATATCTATAACCATGATTTTATCTGTGTATCTGGCTTTTATCATCTATTTATATGGCTTTTAACATCTGTTTATTTGGCTTTCATCATCTGTGTGTCTGGCTTTTATCATATATTTATCAGGCTTAACCTTCATGTATTTTGTTTAAAAGGGACAGGTTCTACAAATGGTTATTAAAGTTATTTAGGCGTCTATGTTTCCAGCAAATTACTTAATGTGTAAAAGAAGATGAAATCTTTAGAATCAGTGTTATTATAATTTCAGTTCTCGAATTTTTATGCAGTTTTTCTCAAGGCAATACAAGACAAGAACAAGATCAGATGGTAAATTAATTACGTTTATGATATATTCAAACGGAGTTGCACACTAATCGCCACATTCATCGGGATGGAGGGTGAAATCGTAATCGACAGCCTGAAAGATAGTTCAGATGACGTGAAGGTTGTAATGGCGGCCATTCACAATGTTCAGCCACAGACAGAGAAACAGACAGAGGTAAACCGTGCGCACATCCTAATTCCCAAGCACAAAGAAGTAGAAACAGACATGTCTCCCATGCAGAAACTAATGTGTGGAAAAGACTTTGTCAGAGAGCTGTGCTGCAAAACAACGGCGTTGCCGATGTACAGACGCGTATTGTGTTGGCGGCCATTGAAGATCTCAAGAAATCTATCGACGTCAAGCTGGACGCATTAGAACAGAGACTCACAACAAAACTACGTAGAGAAATACATCAAGAAATCAACAACAAACGAGCAGAAATTGCAACACAGGTCGACGAGCTTGATCAGCGAATGAAAGACGTGGAAAAGGCGTGCACAACTGAAAATGAGCAAGAAACAGATGACACACATTTAAAGATCGTACTCATGAAAATTCATGAAACCAGCGGAGAGAGCACTGCCAACAAAGCGACGTCCGTGCTTAGGGACGGTATGAAAATGTAAAATGTGAAATTCACCAAGGTAGAGAGACGGCAGTCAGCAAATAAGAAGAAACCTGGTGTTGTCATAGCAACGTGTGAGACAAAAGAGCAGAGACTGGAAATATTAAAGAAAAAGAAAGCACCGACAATCTCAAATAATTTCAAGGAAGTTTTCATAGTCCCTTCCAACACACCAGATGAGCAGCGTGAAATACACAATCTCCGGACCCTCGTGCACGCCGTGGGGGACAGCAGACTACGGGTGCGGGGGCGACGGATCGTGTAGAACCAGGAGGGAGCCGATGGTGAGCAGAGCCACCGACGTCAACGTGACGTGGAGCGACGTTCAAGTGGTGGTGAATGGCGCAGAGTGGAGAGGAGAGATGAACAGACGCGACATGGAGAGAGACGCAGAAGTTAGGTAAAATTGGAAATTCAGTGTAAATGGGTGGAGTGCAGACTGTAATTCGATATTCATGTGTTCAGGACTGTGAACTTGACATTATCGGTATCGCCGAAACACATCTAACAGGTGAGGAGGCCATATGTGTCTCTGGATACGTGGGAATGGGACATACATGAACCAGTCTCCACCGTCGGGCCAGGCACGGGCCGGGTGGGGTCTGCTTTCTCATTTAAGACTCTTTGTTACATACATATGATTTTCATGTTTGAGATAAAACGTACGATAGTATACTCGGATGTCCCTTACAGATAAACTGTCAAAGTCTCAGCATAATATAGGGTTATGTTATCTTCCACCAGAAAACTCAAGGAGACGTGTTGATATCTATGATTTTCTTGATTCATTGTTGTTTAACATTTATGAATTTCAAAAGACTGGTAGTGTCACAATATGTAGAATTGGAATATGTCGAATTATATTGAAGGTATAGATTGTTCAGGTGAGAGAGATGTGGTTGATTTTACTAGAAACAGGTATCGTGATATTTTATCTGATTTCTTTAGTTAAAACAAATATGTGCGTCCTATACAGCAGAAATTGTACGCCAAATGAATTACTTCCATTTCTACACGTGCCTCACCTGTGGTTGACTTTTACATAATTCCCCACGAAGATCTGCAGTGTTATGAAACGTTTAAGGTAGTGCGTGCAAGTGAGATTGTCAGCAGAGTTTGTGGTAGCTGTGGCGTGGATCCACGCTTGGTCCCTGATCATTCCATGTTGACATGTTAAGCAAAGGTTTGAGTCATGTAATACTGATTATACAACAGAGTCCATCATATGACCTCACACGTATTCCCGAGCAGCCCATGAGGTCTCATGAGACTATGCAGGTTTTGAGAGATAGTATCTGTATCGTCGTGAAGGCACAAATGAGTAAAAAGCTACGTCACAAGAAGATCACAATACCCTCAGCTCCTGATAATAGACGTAGAAGGGTTAAAAAGGTCTGGTGGACGGATGAGTTAACAGATAAATGGAATGATCTCTGACAGCATGAACGCAGGGTAGTACAATAGTTTAAATTACCTTACTGCGCGCAGTCAACCTAAACATGCAGGTGCTCATGTCATGTTATGCGGAACGCTGCATTGTTGAACCTGCTGTGAGGCGACACACCAGGCTGATGGTATCACTCTGGACTTCGTGGCCATCTAAACTTGCAGCCTGTCACAGCGAGATATACCTTGAACTAAACAGGAAGCTTTGCATGTGTATGTTTGGATAGATCAGGAACGAATGAGAACACCTTCATGGTAATAATAAATTCATTTCTATGAGTGAGTGAGTGAGTGAGTTGGATTTAACGCCGCTTTTAACAGTATTCAAGTTATATCACGGCGTGTCAGCTTAATGTGGGAGGAAAGCCCGAAGTGATGCAGGTCGAAGACGTTTACCACTTCGGTGAAACCCACGAGCACGGGCGTGGTGCTGACAAACCTAGAAACATAATCGGGGCAAACCGGGATTCGAACCCACAATAATAGGTTTCTGGCGTGCCCAAGGGACGCAACTCTGTACAGCGAATCGCGGCTCCTTAGACACCTGGGCCACCCTTGCCCCCATTTCTAGATATCTACTTAAAACCATTGTACAATTCCGACAACATCATGTACATGTGTTTATGCATCAATTAGTGATGATACCAGATCTTCTCGAGGCTTTAAGAAAACGAAATGATCAGGAATGATAACGCTGAATACCTTATGCATAAACAAAATGCAAGAGTAGTGAAGAGATCATCCAAAGCTTTATTTTCAACAATTAAGAAACCTAGTACAAAACGTCACTATCATTTGAGTTTTCGTCATTTTCGCTGTATCAGTATGTTACTCTTTACTGAACTGTGTAATTTGATATGCTTGCAATCACCGACAAAATTGCGGTCAGAGTTTACCCGAGAAACATTGAATACTTCATGTCATCATATGCATTAGCTACAGTCTAATAATTAAGAAATATTTCTTCGTCTTTTATCTCATAAACATAATACTATTTATGCATTCTCGATTTAGACTTGTACAATGAAGTCCGTGAGGCCCATCCTCGTCATCACCAGGGAAAATGTGTGGCGTCTTGTTTGCTTTCTGACTCGCTTTGTTAGGGGACAGACAAGGAAGTGTATTACATGCCCGCGTTTACTGCTTCGTTGCATTTTAAACACATTTAAGAAACAGTATATCTTCCCGTTTCGCCAGCACTATTTGTTGTGGGTTTTTATTTGCCCAAGAGTCATACAAACGTCAGTTTCGTACAGGGTCTTGTTGGTGAACGAAATGAATGAGTGAGTGAGTTGGGTTGAACGCAGATTTTAACAGTATTCCAGTTATATTACGGCGTGTCAGCTTAATATGGGAGGAAAGCCCGAAGTGATGCAGGTGTCAGACATTTACCACTTCGGTGAAACGTAAAAACATAAGCGGGGCGAAACGGGATCGAACCCACAATCATAGGTTTAGGGCGTGCCCAAGGGACGCGAATCGCGGCACCTCAGACGACTGGGCCGCCCATGCCCCCTGGTGAACGAAAGATGCCACTGCTTGTTTTGAGTAACTGTCCCGATTTTCTTACCAATGTACATGCATTCCGTTTAACTAAATTTTAGGAAGTGATGCCAAGTTTTAATCAACTCTCGGATAAGAATAAACTGTGATACATGTCAGGCAAAATGTGTATTTGTATGTACGAAACCTGCAAAGAAAGTTTTGACTTTGACAGGGATGCATCTCTCTGTGATTGGCGGCAAGTTGAAATGGCCATGAACAAGTCCAGAATATGCATCTTATGACGACAAAAGACCTTTTACTTCATACATACTCGTGTTCGTTTAAACTTATACTGTCATATCAATACAGAGTCTCACTTTTAGTAGAGAATAGGTCTAAACAACAAACAAACAAACAAACACTTTTAGTAATTCTTGTACATAACTGTATCGTCTCTCATAACAATAGAAAGAGTGGCATGTCTTAATACTGTATTATAATGTTCAGTGTGAGACTTAAATAAACTAATGTGTCTATCCGTCTGTATATTATACAAAACAATTACACATATGTGAATTATTAATAACGAACATTATATTTGTATTTTTTTCTAAAACAATATTGATCATTTATGTAAATTAAAAAAATCATATGGTTCACATGAATTACTAATTTTGAATGTCAGAAGAGAGATGTAAATGTTATGCCTCAGTAATTCACACTGACAGTGCGTCTTTACACACTGATCGCAATATGGCTGCAGTATTGCAGATGCGATGTACAATTTTAACTCACTCTTTACACACTGGTTTCAATAAAGTATGCAACGTCCAAATAGTTGCGCATTGGTAGTTCATGAACATCATGTTGAGTTGAATAACTAGGACCAGTTTCAGAACGTTATCTAGTCTTTCTGTCAGCTGCCCCAGCCTCCATCGCTGCTGTTGTGACATGGGATGAATCAATGCGTAACGAAAGCAACTGTTGATTTCTTTCTGAGTGAGGGCTTATTCCCAATGCGATTGTGAGCTTGGGTGTATATTCGTCAGAATTATAGAAGTTACGACAGGCAACGCGTTTACCTCTAAGACTTGGAAGACTTAAGTCAATAGGATTGACAACTTTGTAAGAAGTCTTGCCATGTAGCATAGAAACATATAAACGGGCGGTGCCTTAAACTTGATGCTTTTCACAAAGAATTGGAAAGAGTCCTTTTAGAAACAATTCCGATCCTTGTGGTGTCAACAGCACAATTACCGACTGACAGTAAATGTTGTCAACGATCATTTAGTAATGATATAATATATAATAAAATATATATTTTAAAATCATTTTGAAGACAAATCAACTGTACAAACCTAATTCAAGCAGTCATACAATCTCTGATTAATGCGACATATACCAACTTTCACACAACCACTGTCCTGAGTGACACTCCGTATCCATGCTGGAATAAACTGTTTCCAACACAAGATACCCACGTTGTCCCACTAGCTTCATCGAGCGTCTTAAGCAATGATAGAAGATTGACCGGGAAATAACATAATTATCTAGATGTAATTCTACAATAGTTTCGTAAATATTCGAGTCTGGACCAGACAATCCAGTGACTGACGTCATGAGCATTGATCCACGCAATTGTTTGGTTTGTTGTTTAACGCCGCACTCAGCAATATTCCAGCTATATGACAGTTGTCTGTAAATAATCGAGTCTGGACCAGACAATCCAGTGATTAATATCATGAGCATCGATCGACCCACCCGCCTGACCACCCGATCCTGTTAGTCGCCTTTTACGGCAAGCAATAGTCACCTTTTACGGCAAGCATGGGTTGCTTATCCGAAGACCTATTCTACCCCGGAATCTTCACGGGGCCCACGCAATTGGAATACAATGACATGCATCAACCAAGTCAGCGAACCTGACCACCCGATCCTGTTAGTCGCCTTTTACGGCAAGCAATAGTCACCTTTTACGGCAAGCATGGGTTGCTGAAGACCTATTCTACCCCGGAATCTTCACAGGGCCCACTCAATTGGCATACAATGACATGCATCAACCAAGTTAGCGAACGTGACCACCCGATTCCGTTAGTTTCCTTTTGCAACAAGCATGGGTTGCTGAAGACCACGTGTCTATCACTAATAAAAGAAGGCTGACACTGAAACTTAAATTGACGTAACCGGATTTTCATCAATACAAACTGTCATTCCTATTGTACCATAATCTTTGAAACAGTCTGCGTTTGAACAAATCACGACCACTTCCGTCAATTTTGTTTTGACATAAAAGTACAGACAATTTCATCGGGATTTTTTTTAGTAAATATATCTGACGGAAAATTCTAAATGAATGTGTGCCTCGACATAAACGCCTATTGTCTATTACCGTTAGGATATGTACTTTCTAATGATAACAATTATTGGCCATTAAGATTTCAAACAAGGGCGCTTACTTGACTTGCCATATTCGGTTGCTTCGATATTACGCTTAATGTAGAAAAGTAGCAAACTTACAATACCGGCACTTTTACCGATAGCCAGGCAGTGCATAGATCTTTTGGATTTACTGAATGTACGTACTCGAGTTGAATGTTATACAATTTGGTTTCACTGTATGAAGAATCAAGATCGTTGTGACTTTTGATACAATGTATACGTTTTTGATTCCGCGACGTCATTTCAGTGCGGCACCTTGCGGTGTGCAAAGCCAGCAGACGACCAGGAACCAAATCTACAGGTAACTAGCTCTACAATGAACACACAGTATGTTTATCTCTTTATACGACTTGCCAGATAATTCAAATGAAAGTGCAACCTATCCGAACTGGTGCTGGTGTTCGTATAACCTATTTAACAATAAAATGATCAAACAATATCAATCTGATGGCTGCTTTTTTTTATAATAAAAATATGAATTGGGCAATTAAACGTATTGGGCATCTGGTACATCGGACAGGGCTTCAAGCAAGCGAATGGTCAAAACAGGGGTGAGGCGCTTCACACGGTCTATTACAGAAGTGTTATCAAATATCTCACCTTTGCTTGTCATGAAATGGAAATATGAAAGACCTGTACTCGT